TTTGTTTTTTTTTTTTTTTTTTTTTTTTTCCTTTTGCTTTATTTGCTAGTAGTGTGATATGGATGCACATGCTAATGCTTCAATTATATATATATATATATTGCCCTTTCCCCGAAGAGTGTGGCTCTCTTACCGTTGCCTTTCAACCTTCTCCTATATACATGCATGTATATATTGTATTGTGCTTGTATTTGTATGTTTCTTTGCTTTGTTGTATATATATATATATATATATATTATCTGTATGTTTACACCCACGTATAGTGATGCATTTATACGTACGCTGAAAGGTTTTGCGTGCCTTTAATTATTTTTCTGTCCATGTGTTTCTCTCTGTGCGTGTGTTTATTTGTATGTGGAGGTGGAATGGAGGAGGCAACGTAGCTAAGAGCGTTCTGTAATCTCTTTGGCTTTAAAAAAATTTTTTTTGCTCTTCTTTGTTGTAATATTGTCTGTCGTCGTTTCCGGTGTGTTTTTACAAACTCCCGCGACGATTTGTTTTCACTGGACGGATGCGGACGTCGTCACTTTTGCAAATTCCTTTTGATGTATAGTTGGGGTCGGAACGAGTCGGCTGTCGGGTGGCAGGCGACGTCAGTTTGTTGACGCTTGACTCGGGGGAAGGGAGCCGACGACAAGAAGAGCGCAACAATAAATACAGAGAGAGTGAGAGAAATAAAAGGTCGATGCAGAGTGCGCGCACGCGGGACTTGGCGGCGGAGGTGGCATTGATACGGAAGGAACTGCGACCGCTGCCGGAGAGCGCGCTGGACGGGACGGATGATGGCGCCGAGGACGATGGCGGCAGTGCGTTGCTGCACGGGACGGGCACGAGGTTTGAGATCCTCATGCGGGGTGCGAAGAGGCGCACAGCTGCCCAGTCGGCCGGCACGAGTGACGCTTTCGATCGCCACAACGGTTCCTCCTCGCAGAGCAAAAAACGGCTCGTGCCGCAGATTTTTTCTCACCTGCTTGTGTGTGACTTTGAGGCCACCTGCGACAGCGCGAGCGTGGCTTATCCCCATGAGATTATTGAGTTTCCGGTGGTTTGCGTGGACACGGCGGAGCTGCGTGTTGTGGCGGAATTTCACTCATACGTGCGGCCAACGAAAAACCCCCGCTTGACGTCATTTTGCACCGCTCTGACAGGGATTACGCAGGCCCAAGTGGATGCAGCTCCACGACTGCCGGAAGTACTGCGGCATTTTGACCTTTGGCTGCGGGAGGTGGTGTACCCGCTCTGCCGCCGCTGGAGGAAGGAGCATCTAGAGGGGCTGAACAAATGTCTGAAGGCGTCGCAGAAGAGGCGTTTTGTCTACGACGAGACCCATAACCCGGGCTGGATTGACTGCGAGAGGATGATATGCATGGTAACAGACGGCCCATGGGATATGCGGAAATTTATGTACGAGTGCAGTGTGGTGCGGGATGGACATTTGTTCCCTCCCCTCTTCTACCGCTGGGTGAATGTGCGTCACAGTTTTGCCGAGCACTTCCGAATGCGCCCACGCAAGCTGAATGATATGCTACGGAAGTTGGGGCTGTCCTTTCACGGCCATCCACACAGCGGCATCGATGATTCCCGCAAATATCGCCCCGTATTGTCATCGAGCTTCT